ATCAGAAACGTCCTTCACTCGTCAATCGGAAAGGTGTTCTTCTTCTACACGACAATGCACGTCCACATGTGGCACGTTTGTCGCAACACAAGAATATGGAGTTTGGTTGGGAAGTTCTCCCTCATCCACCATATTCTCCAGATATGACACGATCAGATTACCATCTTTTTCATTCGCTGCGACAACATCTTAATGGGAAAACGTATGCAAATATGGAAGGTGTTAAAGAGGACATCGACATGGTTTTTGCTTCAAAGCCAAATGATTTCTTGAATCAGGGCATTAACAACCTGATTGTAAGATGGAAAAGCATCAGCGATAAGAATGGAGACTGTTTCATTTAATATAAGTTTTGTTTTGATATAACAGTTGTTCGGATTTTTTCATCTAAAAAAAAAAAGCGACATTAATTTCTTGACGACCTAATACATCTAATGAGATATGAATGGAAACGTAATGTCAAAATGATATAAGAAATACGCCTGACGATATTGTCAGAAGGGTGAATATATTAAAAAAAGTGCTTAAAATTCACAATTGCATCGATATTTAAGTTTCCTTATTTTCTCACGAAGTGTTACTTAAATTTAGCTGTTGTTACAATGTGTAACGGGAAGTTCGTCTTTGTACGCTTACAAGTTGACTATCAGTTTTAAGATAACGATATTAAATTGAAATCCGATAGTTATAAACACCCGAATATATTTAAATTGTGGGGTGTGGTGGTGGGGATCTGTTCTTATGTGTATATGAGTGGATTTACAATAATTGAACTTTCGTTCTAGATATAGATGTAATTGTTAAGATTCACTTGATCCCCACGATATAAATATCATTGTTCACTTGATCTCCACAGGTGGTCTTGGAAGGTCCTTACGGTTTGTCAACCCGACAGATTTTCTGGTCTCAGCACGCTGTGCTCATAGGTACTGAGATAGGAGTGACACCGTTTGCTAGCATATTGCAGAGTATCATGATAAGGTACCAACAATCCAGAATGAAGTGCCCCAGCTGTGATCATCAATGGCTGAACCTCATTCCGCGCACCAGTCGCGAACTTCGTAAGGTGTGACGCTGACCATGTAGTTATTAAACCATAATAGAAACCACGTGCTTAGGGAGACGTTGAAACTGTTTTAAATAAAACGGAAAGTGACGTCATAAAATTTGCTGTAACTTTTTCTAATGATTTCTATCACTCCATGTTTTAATATTGTTAACATTATTACAGCTTGATCTCGTATATACACTACAGACAATAAACGGTCGCCTTTAGATATAACTGAAAACGGTTATTGTAAGATGTACGTGCGTCTCTATATGGTACGGAAAGTGGTTTGATTTCTTACATTAATGACAGCTTGAGAGTTTTTTCATTTGTTTTTATGTATATAATGTTTATACAATTGATGAATATTACGTACAGAACGAATGCTTCGGTTATTACGAAGTTTCAATTTATATTTTATACAATTATTCATGCTATGACGAATCTAATCAAAGTTCGTTTGTTTGGGGGGGGGGCGTTCTTAAACAAGTTTTTTTTTTTTTTTCACAACTTGCGGAAATGTTGAATTGTCTTTCTAAAACTCACAATGTCACCCGGTGTTTTAACTTCTATGATTTGGACAACGAAACCAAACTGTTGTGCTAATTTTATTTTACTTTATTCATCAAGTTAGTTTTATTTTTAGAGCATAAAATCTAACGTTATGTAACCTGTATTAGCTCTAATAACAAAACAAGATGAAAGTTTACTTACTACCTTACCGTGGTATATCTCTGTTGCAAATCGTTAAGCCTCTTAAAGTTAATGTAAATTTTTCGATATTTTGTGACGTTTTAACAACTGTTGGCATTTTTTTTTCGAATTGTGGGTTCGCTAAGCCTCTTACAATTAGTGATGATTTTTTTTACTGTTTTTGATTCGTCAAGCCTTTTAAAAATTAGTGTTTTTTATGGTTGTTTTGATAAGGAAGAGTAAGACTAAAAAATTATTGTCCCAATAAGTATTGTGTAGAATTCTTATTTTGTGCGTATAAAATTTATCTAATATCCGGGTAACTGTTGGCAGACAATATTTACTACACGACTTATTACATTTTTTTATTTCCAAATGCACCCAAGATGTGTCTAGTGCCCCAATACTTGTTATTATGACAAGAAATGGAAAGCTTCGTTTGAACGCACTCCAATAAGCGAGACATCTTCAAATCTTGGTAAAACAGTAAAGATTCTCATAATAAACATAAATGTATCTAGTAAGTGGGAAAAAAATGTATCGGTGAATGTTTCAAATAATATGTGCATTTTGAACAATAAGGAATGATAATTTAAATATTTACGATATTTCAGGTTGATTTCATTTGGCTAAACCAGGAACAGCGATCATTCGAATGGTTTATCAGTCTTCTGAGTGACCTCGAAATTCAGCAGGCAGAGACTGAAAGCACAGATGACCGCTTTTTGGACATTCACATCTTCATTACGTCGGCTCTTCACGTGAATGATATGAAGGCTCTGGGCCTACAGTTGGCGCTAGATTTGCTTCACGAAAAATCGACAAGATGTTTAATTACTGGTTTGAAAACTAGGACGCAGCCAGGCCAACCAGACTGGGACAGGGTTTGATATTGTTATAATGTTTTCTATCGTGAAGTCCAGTCCACTTAATAAAGAATGAACATATTTTCTAATAACGTTCTATACAGGCTATGTTCAGTGGTAGGCCTAAGTTCACAAACAATATTTCGACAGAAATTTCGAAGCTAATATAGGGGAGACCGGGGCTAGTTGTTATGATTTTTAG